AATTTTCATTTTTTGTCCACATGCTATGCGGGGTCTAATTCCCTGACTATAGATCAAATCCATGCCCTCTGCATTGAAAACACAGAGTCAGCCACTGGACCACCAGGGAAGTCCCTGCAGTCTCTATTTTAAAGTCTATATTGTCTGACATGAATATTGCTACTCCAGCTTTCTTTTGATTTCTATTTGCATGGAGTATCTTTTTCTATCCCCTCACTTTCAATGTTTATGTGTCCCTAGATCTGAAATGTGTCTCTTACATACAGCATGATATGGGTCTTGTTTTTATGTCCATTCAGCCAGCCTCTGTCTTTTGTTTGGAGCATTTATTCCATTTACATTGAAGGTGGTTATCAGTATGTATGTTCCTACTGCCATTATTTTTATTGCTTTGGGTTTTTTTTCAAGGTCTTTTTTTCTTTCCTTCCTCATGTGTTCCCTGGGAACACATACATACCTGTTGTTTTTGCGTTGCTTTTCCTTTTGTGGGTGTATTTATCTATTGTAGTTTTGGTGTTTGCATTACCCATGAGGTTTTGATAAGGCAGGTATATATTGTTATTGTTTAGTCACTGAGTTATATTTGACTCTTACAACTATATGGACTGTGTAGCCTGCCAGGCTCCTGTGTCCATGGAATTTCCCAGGCAGGAATATTGGATTGGGTTGCCATTTCCTTCTCCAGGGGATCTTCCTGACTAATTGGTCCAACCTGCATCTTGTGCACTGGCAGGCAGATTCTTTACCATGGAGCCACCTAAGAAGCCCATTAGTAAGTATGTGTGAGCTAAATCACTCAATCATGTCTGACTCTTTGCAACTCCATGGATCTGCCAGACTCCTCTGTCCATAGGATTCTCCATGCTAGGCTACTAGAGTGGCTTGCCATGCCCTTCCCCAGAGGATCTTTCAACCCAGGAATTGAACCCAAGTCTCTTATGTTTCCTGCTTTGACAGGTGGATTCTTTAACACAAGTGCCACCTGGTAGCCCATGTATATGTATACATGTGCATATGTATACATATGTGTACATACATACATACATATGTATACATATGTGTACATACATACATATATGTACACATATGTATACATGTGTATACATATACATATATGTATATGTATGTGTACGTACATGTATACGAGGCTGTTTTAAGTTGCTGGTCTCTTAATTTCAAATGTAACTTCTGTTACCTGCATTTGTATTCTCCTCACTGTTGCTAGTGTTGATATCATTTGTGTATGGATGATTTCCTGCATTTACTGTATGTTTGCCTTTATCAATGAGCTTTTCCATTTGTGATTTTCTTGTTTCTAGTTGCAGGATGTGATCTCTTTTTTTCTTCCTACCTTGAAAAGTTCCTTTAGTATTTGTTGTAAAACCGGTTTGATGATAGTGAATTCTGTTAGCTTTTGCTTGTATACAAAACCTTTGTTGTCTCCATCAAATCTGAATGAAAGCCTTGCTGGTTAGAGTATTCTTGATTGTAGGTTCTTTTCTTCCATCTCTTTAAGTATGTCATGTCTTGTCCATCTGGCATGCAGAGTTTGGGCTGAAAAATCAGCTCATAATCTAATGGGGATTCCCTTTTATATTATTTGTTGCTTTTCCCATGTTACTTTTCATATTGTTTCATTGTATTTAATTTTTGTTCTTGATGAAGACAAAAGAGAAGAGTGAAAAATTGTCCTAAAACTCAACATTCAAAAAACTAAGATTATGGCATCTGGTCCCATCCCTTCATGCCAAATAGATGGGGAAACAATGGAAACAGTGAAAGATTTTACTTTCTTTGGCTCCAAAATCACTGCAGATGGTGACTGCAGCCATGAAAGTAATAGACGCTTGTTCCTTGGAAGAAAAGCTATGACAAACCTAGCGTATTAAAAAGCAGAGACATGACTTTGCCTAAAAAGGTCTGTCTAGTCAAAGTTATAGTTTTCCCAGTAGTCATGAATGGATGTGAGATACATAAAGAAGGTTCAGCACTGAAGAATTGATGCTTTAAAACTGTGGTGTTGGAGAAGACTCTTTAGAGTCCCTTGGACTGCAAGAAGATCAAACCAGTCAATCCTAAAGGAAATCAATCCCAAATATTCATTGGAAGGACTGATGCTGAAACTGAAGCTCCTATACTTTGGCCACTTGATGAAAAGAGCGAACTCATTGGAAAAGACCCTGTTACTGGGAAAGACTGAGGGCAAGAGGAGAAGGAGATGACAGAGGACCAGATGGCTGGATGACACATGCCCACTGACTCAATGGACATGAGTTTGAGCAAGCTCCAGGAGGTTGTGAAGGACAGGGAAGCCTGGTGCTACAGTCCATGGGGTCACAAAGAGTCAGACATGACTGAGTGACTGAACATCAAGAATATTTTTTCTGCAGGTTGCAGGATTGTTGTTCCTCTTTCTTCTGTTGTTTGCCTCCAGTGAGTGAGGTTGGTCCAGTGACTTTTGCTATTATCCCCTGGATAGTGGGTTTAGCTGCCTCTGTGGTAACCTGAAACTGCCCTGAATATTGACCAGAGCCTCCCGCTTTGCTCTGTGCTTGTCACTTCCCCATGAGCATCAGGGTCTGCTCCCTACTTGTTTGAGTATTGTTACTGTTGTTCAGTCACTAAGTCATGTCCAGCTCTTTGGGACCCTGAGAACTACAGCATGCCAGGCTGCTTTGTCCTTCACTATCTCCTGGAGTTTGCTCAAATTCATGTTCATTGAGTTGGTGATGCCATCCAGACATCTCATGCTCTGTCATCCCCTTCTCTTGCCCTCAGTCTTTCCCAGCATCAGAGTCTTTTCCAATGAGTCATGGATCTTCACACCAGGTGGCCAAAGTATTAGAGCTTCAGCTTCAGCATAGGTCCTTTCAGTGAACATTCAGAGTTGATTTCCCTAAGATTGACTGGTTTGATCTCCCTGTAGTCCAAGGAACTCTCAAGAGTTTTCTTCAGCACCACAGTTCTAAAGCATCAGTTCATCGATGCTCAGTCTTCTTTATGGTCCAACTCTCACATCCACACATGACTACTGGAAAAACCATAGCTTTGACTATACAGACCTTTGTCAGCAAAACGGTGTCTCTGTTTTTTAATATGCTGTCTAGGTTTGTCATTGCTTTTCTTCCAAGGAACAAGTGTCTTTTAATTTCATGGCTGCAGTCACCATCTGTGAGTATAGATCCCTCCATTTTTTTCTTAGCTGTATTTCTAATGTGTACTGTGAGCTAGGCAGGACTGGAACACTCCCACTGGGAGATTACTCACTGAGTACTCCTCAACTGGAGTTGTTCACCTATGAACGTGCTCTGTCATGTCCCCTTTAGCCCATGGTGTGGGCTCACAAAGTCCCCTGTTGTTGGCAGTGGTCTCGGCCCCAGTGTGAGTGTGGGTATGCTGCCTGTTGGCCCAGAGACTCTCAGGTGTTTTCACCAGGCCACTAGCTCACACCCATTGACTTCAGGTCTCAGGACTGCAGTAGTCGTGCACCTGGACCTACTGTGGGCACTATAGCCAGCTCAGAGTGTGGCCCGGCTCAACCTCTGTGCATATGCACCCCCAGGGCCCACAGCTGCTAAAGCAGACCCATCCCAGCCGCAAGAGCGTTTGCTGTCCTTTCGGTGTTTTGCAGGTGATGAATTTAGGAAGCCATCAGCGGAGTCCTAACTCCGCGGTTCACACATCTTCTAGGAGAGATTTCAGCTCTTCTTCCCTAGTTACATAGCCCCTAGGGCTTAGCTGCGGTTTCGGCCCCATCTCTGCGTGTGTTCCCCCCAATGGAGTCTGCTCCAGAGGTTGCCAGAGCACCCTGTCCCATCAGGCAGGAGGGAGACAAGATGAAGAACAGGGCAAGCAGGCCGCCCAGGTGAGAGGGCCCTGGAGTAGCAATCGGAGCATTTGAACTTCTCAGGGAGTGCTGGGGCAAACGGGTAGCCAAGTAGGGAAGGGAAGGGGGCGACTGCAAGGGCTCATGACCTGGCTCCAGTGGGCGCCCTCCTTAGTGCCTGCGGAGACAAGGGCCGGAGCCCTGAGCGGGGCTGTGACGGCAGCCCCGCCCTTTGCATGCCTCTCCTCCTCTGGGCTCTGCCTCCGCAGGGCTCCACGCTTCCCTCCAAGCACCCCCGGCTCAGAGCTCCTCAGGCCCGTCCCCGCTTCCTGGGCTGGCCCTCCAAACTGCAGATCCCAGCACCCAGACCCTGTGCGCGGCTGCGGACGCCCCTCGGGCTGGGGCGCACTGGCGGCGGCGCGGACCCTCTGTGCAGACCTCGCTCCGTCCTGCCAGCCCCAGGCCAGGTGCTGTGTTCTTTCCAAGTCTCTGAAACACCCCCTGTCTCAGCTGCTCTCCTTACTGGAAGGGACTTCTCCAGATGTGAAAATCCTGTCCTTACTTCCAGCTTCCTTCCAAAAGTAGAGACCTCATCTTGCCTCCTCTCCTCTTCCTTTCCCCTTCTTTCTTTCATCCTGCCCGGTTATATGGAAATCATTCATTTCCTTTTATGTGTTTGAAGTCCTCTGCTAGTATTCAGCAGGTGCTCTGTGAGAATTTTTCCATTTTTGATGTATTCTTGATGTATCTGTGGGGAGAAATGAACTCCATGTTCTCCTGCCCCTCTACTATCTTGGAAAGTCTGTATTGATTTTTTTCGCTCTTTTATTTATATCTCCTGTGATCTTTTATTTCCTCCTTTTTTGCTCACTTTAGGTTTTGTTTGTTCTTTTTCTAATGATTTTAAGTGGTGGATTAGATTATTTGAGATTTTTCTTGTTTTTAAAGAAGGCCTGTATTGCTATGAACTTCTCTGAAATAACTGCCTTTGTTCATCCCATAGATTTTGTATGGTTGTGTGTTGTTATTTGTCTCAAGGTATTTTTAAATTTCCTCTTTGATTTTGTCATTGACTCATTATTGCTAAAGTAACATGTTATTTAGTATCCATGTAATCATGTATGTGCTTATTTTATGTTGACAAAATAAATTATGAACATTGCAAAAAAGAAAAACCTCATTGTTTGAAATAAATATATGGCAAATATAGTATATTATCTACTTTTAAAGCTAAAAGGAAGATTAAAGACAAAAGTAGTGAAAACACTTATATCCACAATAAGCAGTTTAGGGATACACTTAAACAAAATGATGTAAAATATGATGTCAAAGAAATATAGTATGTGGGGATAGTAAAAATGCAGATGTATTTATGAACTTCCTTTACATTTTTCAGACATTTGTTTTATAAGATTGTATGACTTTATTAAGGTTAATAAATGTTTTTCAACTGAATCCTTTTTCTCAAAATTAAATATATAATTTTTGCTCATGATACACAATTGTCATTTATTTAAATTCTAAGTTATTCTCTTAATAAAAAGAGAAATTGAAGGATTTAATGGCCAGTTTCCCAATTTATATCTATTAGCTAAGACTTATGCCAGTTCCAAATATTTAAATTGAAACAATTTAGCTATTTATTTATTGTCATAGTTATTTGACATTTAAATTTAAATAATGATTTCTTTTGGCCTTGATAAAGATTTTATTTATCTAATATGCATGTATTTTGTTTTACATTTCATCATCTATTTCCTTCTAATTTTTTATCTAAAACAAGGCTTGAAACATTATGGACAGATTATTCAGTAATAACAAAGTTACAATTAGATATTAAGCAGAGTCTGGGGTGGTTTCTTCCTTCCAATATGCAGGCTATAATTAACTCCTTTTTTTCCCCAGTGGTTGTATACTACTTCTTGCATAGATCACTTCCATTTGTGAATAAAGCACATCATATCCTATTCCAATTCAGGCCATCCTTGTTTCTCCCTATCTGAAAAGAAAAACCCTGCCCACCTCTTCATTTGCTATATGAGACCCTGCTGTGGTTCACATAGGTCGCCAGCATCACCTCAAATTGAAATTTTTAGACAGACAATGCTTCTCACTTAGAATCTTTTATTTTTAAAATATTACCTAAGTTAGTGCCAATAACTCCCAAATCAGGTAAAGGGAGATAATATAAAATGATGGACAATAAGAGATGGTAAGTTGTTTTTAAAAAATGTAAATCTTATTGGCAGGCTAGTAGTATGAATCTATATCCTAGAATATTCTAAGGCTCAACTGGAATAGTATTGATGAGGGTACGTTATTAACATTAAGCACTGTACATTTAATATCAATATAAGTTGATGTTGCATTATGGATACTTTATAATGTTTGAAATAATATTGACTAGGGGTATTTCACAGAGAGTTCAAGCTTTTGCTTGTTTTGGTGTGAATAGAGTTCTCTTTAATTATCCTTTCAGTTGTTGAAGACCTCTGAGATTATGAAGAGAAGAAATAGAAATCAGTATGTGGAGTCAAGTATTTAGGATGTCAATGAGCTTTTAAATTTTGTAAAGGTTTTTCACTGAGCCCATGTTGACTTGAGTGCTGAGCGATGGCATAAATTAAGGAAAGAAAAAAGACTCCAGACTTTAACTTGTGCCCTGGAAGATATCTTTTACAAAGGTGAATAATAGTTGAAAAGGTTGTAATGCAACATTTTTCTCTCTTAACCTATTATAGTGGTGAAAGTGAAAAGTGAAATTTGCATCCACCTCTTGAGAATTCCCCAGGCCAGAATACGGGAGTGGGTAGTCTTTCCCTTCTCCAGGGAATCTTCCCAACCCAGGGATTGAACCCAGGTCTCCCGCATTGCAGGAGGATTCTTTACCAGCTGAGCCACAAAGGAAGTCTACCATTATAATAATGATAGACTAATAAAAATGGGCAAAGTGAGGGGAAAAAAATTCTATTTTTGTGAAAAAGTGACCAGCCAGTGAATAAAACATAGTTAGAACATAGAAAATAGCATTTTCACGAATGGTCTTACTAGCAGGAAGGCATCAAAATTTATTCAAAGAACTAAGGTCAACATTTGGAAGATAAACCAAATTAACTTAAAATTTTAAATGAATTTAAAAAGAAGCACCGGAGTGACTCCTAGACCTCCACACATGTAGACAATGATAAGCCTAAGGGAAGAAAGCAGCAGATTTTAACTCTATTGTTATAGGATGGAGGACTTGGGAAATAGAAATCAACCAAATATTGGTAATGGTTCATGATAAATATAATCATTATTTGTACAGTATGATAATGACAGTTTTTTAAAAAAAAATATGAGCTACAATAATCCATTTTTAAAGCTTATGATGGAAAACATTAGGCCATACAATAGTTTCAACATTTTTTTTACATTTCTTGATCAAAGTACTCCTCTGTCAGTGTTTTTTCTTTTGAGTCAAAAACTTCAGAATGAGTATTTGTGGTGTGGGTGACATTTAAAAAATTTCCTGAGAAACCCTATCCCTGGGCACTGTGGGCTATAAACACAGATTGACATGGTATTTTGATGGATCTTTGGCTGTGGGAAAAATTTTGCTTTCTGACTTAAAAAAGAAGATATATTTATTTTCAAATTTAGCATTAATCATATCCATATTGTAAAATTGCATTTAAACAATTTTTAAAATCATTTTAAAAAGAAAAATATTTTAAAAGGATTAATTGCTGTTTCTCTTCTGTGTTCAGATTCTATTGATTAATCTAGATTCATTCTGAAAATGATTAATATCTTGAAAAGTAACATTACTAACAAATGTCTCCATATTCTGGAAGAATATTCTTTGCGTGTTGTGTGTGTGTGTGTGTGTGTGTGTGTGTGCATTTATTTGTTTTATATTTCAGATTTTGTGCTTAGATTTTATTTGATATTATGCTTAGATTGTAGTTTGTTTCCTGATTCAAGAAACAATCAAACTTTGTGTTTAACTGTAGCAGCGGTTTTGTGTTCTTTAAAGTAACCTCTAAATTAGGAGTATGTTTGGACTTTTTTTTTTTTTAAATAATGACCCAAACAGTTAGCTTTTTATATTGTACCACATCCTCTCCCTCCAAAAAATCTGTTTGTGGTACATTGAGTCATCTTGTTTTAAGGTGGCAAATTAGAGTTATGTTATACAAAACACCTTAAATCCAGCTTATCAGAGAAGGACGAGTAAACCATTTTATATAACTCAGTATTTGTAATTCATTATATCACCCTTTTTATAGATTGGATGACTTTTTTCAGTTTATGTGATAGTATATGATAAAAGTTAAAATGCAGATCTTGGAAAATAACCCTTATGTCTAAATAAAGTAATGTATATGATTTTTATATAAATAGTCACTAAAATAATTGGACTATAAATACTTTATTATTAGAAATTTAAGAAAGAAATGTACTATGTGAAAAATTTCTTCTTTTTATTTTTTGAAGATCATTTCTAACTCTACATAAAAATATATCTTTATTTTTATATTGTACCAAGAGCTTTAAAAATGTTAGATAATTGCTTCCCAAATTGGAACTTAAATTAAATTTCATGTTTGTCATTTTGGGGAACATTTTTATTCTGTGCATATGAAATGTCACCAGAAAACTATTTTCTTTTTTGAGTAATGTAACATTGTTTCCAAAATGTATATATTGGAACTTTTGCGAAGTCTTACTTTTCCTTGGGAATTTGCTTAATGGTTGTCAATCATGTAAAAATAGTTGACTTTACCTCTTCACTGTTGCCCTTGTCTGAGGAAATTTTCACTAGGCTTTTATTTTAGCCTAGAGCAGCCAGAGCAGTTTTGTCAAGCAGTTTTGTTTTGCCAGTTTTCACATGATATCATTCTTCCTCCCTAAATCCAATATCAATAACAACATAAAGTTTAAACTGATAAAGCATAATAAGCAATCCTCTTGGCTATTGTTGAATCTTTAAACAATCTCTCCAAATCCTATATGTCTCAAGATAACTGATCTGTTAGTTCAGTCATGTATTTCCTGAACATACAAGTGTTGTGTTTAGGAAAAAAAAGGGATACATTTCCCATAACTACATTTATTTTTTTTTTCTTGTAATAATATATACTACTGGAATAAAAAAGAAAGGCAGCTACTTTTTTTTTTGTCTTTAAAATATAAAACAGTAATTTACTCTGGATTGAAAGGATTTGAAATATTCTTTGGAATGGTTGAATATCTAGTATTTTGGGTCAGAAGGCAAATTTGTGAGTTATACCATATTCCTAGCCTCATTTTTGTTATATACAACTATACCCCAATTCACTTAGTCACATCTTTTGTGCCTTGAAACATATACTGAGGACCTACTTTATGTCAGGCTGGCAATGAGTTTTTAAAGATAAGCAACAATGCTTCCTGTGGTATTTTCAAAATTAAATTGAAGGATCTGAATTAAAAACATGTTATGAAATCTTGTGTGTTGGCAAGACAAGCAAGACATGGAAGCAGATGAAATACCTAATGGGGTTATTAAGGAGAGGGGATTTCTAGGAGAACTTTCTGTAAGTAATGCCTGAGGATACTCTATCATCTTGTCTACTACAGTGTACTCCCAAGTAGTAATCAGCTATCAAGAAAATATATTCATTTTCTTTAGGCTATTTAGCTTGCAAGTATTTTCTCCCAAGTGTACTGAAAGACTTTGGTTTTGTCTAAAGTACTGGCTCTTAAACAACAGCAACAAGTGGTTCTTTACTTTGTGTGATCCCTTTTGACAATCTGCTATGGACCTCTTCTCTGAAAAACATGTGGTGACTGTGTTTTTAAACTCTTACATGTTGTTTTTTTTGCATACAGCTTTTAGGAAATCACAGACTTAAAGCCTCCTTAAAGCTGGTCCCTGGACCTCAGCTTCAGAATTGAAGGACTATAGCTTGCTGGGGAATCAGAAAGTTGGTGAAAGAGACATCACTTAAAATTACAGCATAGGGAATCACAACATTGGATTGCTTATTCTCACCATATATTCCTTTATAAAATGTATTTACTCTGTGTATGGCAGTAAAAGCAATTTTTTTCTTTCTTTTTTTGGTCTCTGATTAAAAAATGTTTGTAGTACAATGAATGCAAATAGCCTTCAAGGGAAAAACAAAACCTGTGGTTTTCCATGTAATGTCAAAATTGTACTTTTTGACATTTTATTTTGGCCTATTGGTTAGCTACAACCCAATTTTTTGACCATAAGAATCTGAGCAGAATTCCAGATAATAAATATTCTAATTGCACTATTTCCCTAATATCATAATCTATAATAAGTTTTTTGTATTAATTTCTGTATCTGATATCACTGAACACAAATCACTGTATTAAATGGGTTAATGATTGATAATTTATAATTTAAAGATATTTCTCTTCAATTTTTTTATGTAAAATAAAAAGAAAATACCATAGAAAGAAAAACAAAAGGTTCCAAAGTATACTTGAGAATTACAAACATCTTGGAGTCTATATAAAAATATATGTTTGGTTACAATGCACGTTGTAATGTTATTGTCATTAATATAAAGTTTCATCATTCATTTAGCTATGCCGATGCATAAGTAAATATTTAACATGAAATAAGACACTTATGGGCTTCCCAGGTGGTACTAGTGGTAACTGAACCCACCTGTGAGTGCAGGAAACATAAAAGACGTGGGTTTAATCCTATGTCTGGAAGATTCTCCTGGAAGAGGGCACGGCAATCCATTCCAGTGTTCTTGCCTTCAGAATCCCATGGACAGAGGAGCCTGGCAGGTTACAGTCCATAGGGTTGCAAAGAGTCAGATATGACTGAATGACTTAGCACTCACGCTTGGACAAGACATAGACTGAAGTGGAAGGTGAATTAAGGAAATGTTCAAATGTGTGCCAAAAAAGGAAGAAATTGTGCATTTTAAATTACATGATAGGTTGAAAATTCTAAGATGTCCATTTTTTGTTACTGTTGATAACATCAAGATTTACAGATATATATGGTTATAAGGTCTATACTATATCAAGTCTACACATAAATGGTGTTTGTTTTCTTCTGAATCAATTCACCGCATATTCAGAACTGCAAAGCTACTGAAGATATTGGTTCAGGAAAAAAAGCAATCAATAAAAGATGTGCTTAGGTATTCTAGAGCAGTTTTGTCTCTTTGTAAAAATTGTCTGGTCTTATACCTCTTCCTCCACTATGGCCGGGTTTCAATCGCTCAGTCCTGTCTGACTCTTTGTGACCCTGTGGACTGTAACCCATCTGTTGCATTCTCCTGGGGAGAATACTGGAATGGGCAGCCGTTTCCTTCCCCAGGGAACCTTCCCGACCCAGGAATCAAACCTGGGTCTCCTGCATTGCAGGCAGATTCTTTACTGACTGAGCCAGCAGGGAAGATTTTTCTTCTCTGAGGTGTTGTATCAACTTGGACTGCTGATCTTTGTTTGATATAATACATCAATACATGAATCCTATTGCATGCAAAAAGTCATTACAAGAAAATAAAAATCTAAAACATTTGAGTTTTATTTTATTATTATTCATATTATATAAATGTGGTACAGGTAACATTTTACTTGGTTGAATGTTTATGCCCTCAAGTCAGCCAGTTGATTCAGAGGAATAAAATTTATACTTGCAGAAAAAAATAAAAGTAATAAATAA